TTTCGATATATATCCTACGTCGTGCACTTAAGTGCCCACACGTACGCGGCGCGCCGATGCACTTTCCCCCTGAATGTATGCGTGCGAACTCGCGCCATCGAGAAAGACTTATGCGTGCCGTCTATATATTACCTTCTGCCGGTCGGCGCTTTAATTAGTGCTGTGGCTCCTTCGACGACCAGCGACGGAGTCGAAATCGACGTGGCCTGCCGCGAAACGCGAAACGCGCTGCAGCGCTGCAAAAGAGGAATATGATTGAGAAACGGTTTCTATCGTGCACGCCGCTTGGTCATTCCTCTCGCGCTCTCCGCTCGTGCCGGCACGGAAAAGCGCGCGCGGTCTCGTTAATTTGCGGCGCGACTGTGGAACTAATAGCTCGTTCTCTACCGGGGATATTAGTGTCGAGCGTTGACGGTATCCCGGAATCTGCGACGGAAACATGTTTATCGTTGCGTCATTGTACATATTGTTGTATCATTGCACAGCTATATTTATCCGTGAAGTAATTTTTTTCACTTCGAGCGGAGTATGCTTTATTATGCGGTCGATTGCGATTTAATGATTATGAATAAAGTCCTCAATTTGCACAAATAACACGAATTTTCAATTATATGGGGAGTCAATTATTATTTTTTAAACGCAGTCATTAACTGAATGTTTAATTTATATTTTTAACCTATTTTTTTTTAAGCTCATAGTTTTTTTGCGCAATTATTTTTGTTACTCAGTAAAATAGATTTGCCCCAATTTGTCCACTGGTTCGCATAAGGGTCATACATATATATTCACGCTCGATCATCGTCAATTGTCTTTAGTTGAAACTAAAATGCGGACCAAAAATCTTGACCTCCTTTATTAAGAATTGATTAAATCGACAGGTCGAGGTAGTTATAATTTCTTTCACGAATAACGACAATCGTACTTCAAAGTCGCAATTTCAATATTAATTTCTCTAAGTGGATTGATAGATTCCTTATCAAAAGTCGATTTTACTTAATCCGAAGCAAACATTTGTACAATGTACATCGATCTTACATATATTTCGAGATTATGTTATAAATTTGAAAAAAGTGCACGACATAATTTATTTCCCAAATTTCGATAATTTGTTTTCGAATATTTGAGGAAAGTAGATTAAAAATAAGAATTACTTGTTATTTACTGTCCTGAAATTATAAGCTGGAAGACTTGGAATAACTTCCGAGAACATAACTGGACTTAGTGTTCACGAGAAATTCAACACCCGATTACAGTTAAAACGCATACAAAGCCTTGGATCATCGAGGTTATCAGACTTTCTAGAAATTCATACCTGTCTCGCTATTTTCATTCGTCTCAAGCCGACCGTGAACCGCACGTCAAATTAGTGTACGATCGTATACTCGACCGTTACGTTAACGTAACGAATCGAGCGTATTCAGGGAAATACCTTCGCCGACTCTGACTTAACGGAAGACACACTTGGGGTATCCCGTGACCATCAAAAGCACGTAGTCCAGCTCGGCCATGTAAAGCGTGAAAAGGCATTCGGTAGCTAGAATGCGCGGTTGTGCTCGCGCGCGAGATCGACGGGTGTTGGACGGCTTACTCGTACATACGAGAATGAATTATTCCCGATCGCGTGTCGATTTTGCAATGTCCGATGCGAATTAACGAGCGGATCATTTTCGTGCCATTCTCCATCCGTTGGACGCGAGCAAGGACGCTGCTTTCCGCGAATGTTATTGTCATCATCTTACCCGAAGCGAAATCGTCGTTACACAGCGTATTGAAGCGTGCTCGTGGCCACGCGAGCCGGATTAATTAGCGTGTATCGCTAATTACTGCCGCTGCGATACGTTCAACGGCCGTGAAAGTGTCGGACAACCGTGCTGGATTTCTTTACGTGCTGAAAAAGAGTCGAGCTCACGGATGATCTTTTATTCGCGCGTCGCGTGCGCACCCACAATCGCGATCGCATTCTTATTATGTGAGAAAATGCGTGGAATTTGAGATAGTAGTATAACTGCCTTAATCAGTCATTATCATAATCTAAATTGTAATCGAAAACGAAAAAGTGTTGTTTTGAAAAATATCTCCGCCGAGCGCATTTGAAATTGTAATTAAACTGCATTTAAAGCTTGCAATTTTAATCACAATTTAGATTGCACGTATCAGGTATGAAAAATTGCAGTTTTAAACGATATGTATCTTTAATCGCACCTTTATCGAGTACATATGAAATTGTAATTAAACTATAATTGACGGTTATGATTTTGATCATATTTTAGATAGCGATCGTTAAAGTTGAAAAATCACTGTCCAGAAAATATTTTCAAACGAGTTTTTACCACGCGCTCTCTTTATGTCTATCCTTTTAGGGTTACCGAGCGTTCAAATGTCAAATTCTTGCTGAATTCTGCAGCGCAGAACGGGACTCGTAATGACCGCGTGGTTAGCGAAACTTTGTGCGGCCACGTGCTCGTTAAGAATTGCATACGCGTTCGTGCGCGTGTTACACGCGCGAACATCGCACCCTTATTACACGAACATCATAACTGGAAATGGATATACGCTTATCCCTCTAACACGTACATGCCAACACCAATAAACGCTTGTAAATCGGTGGCTGACCACGAGTGTGCATACTACTCGTTTGTAATTACGTGTACATTCTATAATTCACGTGCAGTATACGAGCGATCGTTGCCGCATGATTCCTTATCTTCCCTGATAAATCGTCTTTGAACACGGAACATCTTATTTTGGCCGTTATTTAATTATTGATGATATCGTTTCTTAATTACACAGTACTTATAAGGTTTGCCGTAACAGTAGTCTGCAATATAGTAATGAAAAAAACCAACAATCGAGAAATAACCAACTTTTCGAAATCTGCAAAGGATAATCCGATTATAATTTCAAATTAAAAATTTTTTATGTTTTTTATTAGAAAGCTTTATTAGAAAGTTGATTTAATTAGAATTTTAGATTTTATTAAATCTCGATTTGAAAATAAAAATTTTCTATTTGATTTTATATTAAAAAAAAAACCATAGATACAAGAAAGCGTGAAGAAACGTAGATTGTGGCAGGAATTTATTAGTAAATTATAATTTTATTTTGATGTTTATGCTCTTCACTATTCTGATATACTTATATTTGAGTATTTTGATGTATTTCGGTCTGACCTATATCGACGTAATTTAACGTAATCAGATTTACTCGGATTGCCATTCTGCTACTCTGACCTACTCCGTCGTACGCTTTGATACAGTCTGATTTATTCCGACTGTAATTCCGGCAAACTCCCGCCGTTACTCGCGGCGCGAATCTCTGAGAACAAGCGAGCGCGTAACGAAATCTCGTGCGAACTGCGCGCGAATTTATGCGACTGGGCAGCAGTGGAGGACCGATGAATAGTTGGAGTGAAAACACGGCGGTTGTATAAATTTCACATGGTACGCGTGTGTTGAGGCCGCATGCATTAAGCGTGCATCCATCGCATGGATGGCCACGCCCCTGTTACAGGAGGCTCCGTAACCTATCCGGGGTTGCGGCGGCGGTTGGTACGGTTATCATCGCATAACGTACACACTTGTAGAGCTTCGTAATACGACCGACTGCGGGATGGGGACCGGGTCGCGCGTTGCTCGCGTATCTCTCGTTTGTAATTAGCGCCCGGAACATATCGAGCGAAGGCGTGCGCGCGCGTGTGGGTGTGCACACGGCGATGTGGACGCAGTGTTGCAGCGGTATGCGTACGCATTGGCGCATTAAACGTACACGTAACACGGTAATGTTTGCCCACTTTGGCGCAATTAAGTGACCGCGCTGTTCGGTTCTCACGAGTTCCCCTTCCTCGCGTCATCATCTTTGCGCGATATTCGCGCGATCGAGAGGTCTGCGCGTTGAAATATCGAGCTGCACGACTGCTCTTGGTTTTTGCCGAGTGTCGATTATTATTGTCGAAGAAAGGCAACCTTCTTCAGCAGGTTCGCGGGTGGTCGCGAGGATATGACATACGACGCGACCGCTCTGCTCGTTCCGCTTTTGAAGGGCCTCGGTGCAATTTTGACATTTCTGCCTTCAAGATTTATACACGAGTAATTCTCTGCTGGCGTGTCATTAGCAAGACCGTAACGACGTTCTTCGTTTTATTCTTTTATCCGTGCGCTCTCGAATAATCAACCGAGTTTTGCGAACGGTTGACTCTTGGAAAATAAGATCTCGTCTTTCTCCTCGCGATTATTCTTATCAATTTCTCGTTAATATAAGAATATAATATTTGAAAGAGATTTCTCAAGCCTTCTCATTAGATTGTTTAGGAATAAGTTTACCTTTGGTCGATATACTGGCTGTTCGAAACACAAATATTTTTTCGCTTTCATCGCTCTGTCCGACGCCATTTGCTCTCCTCCCATCGATGTTAGACTAAACGTGCTTACGTTCGTTACTGCGAGGACGAGTATCAGGTTGCCTGTTTCGCTCTCGCTTTCTCTCATTTTTTCCTATCGCTTTTTGTATCATTTTTCTTCGTAGTGATATATAAAGGCTTATTTAGACGGGGCAATTTTTTCATGCTGTTTCACTATAGTCGCATTTTATTGCATATACATTGCTGATTTTTGCAATGTGCGTTTTGAATGTTAATCTAATGCAACGGTGTCAAACTGTGGAATTTTTACTGTCATTAAAAAAGACGATTTACAATTATTTGTTCACGTAGTAAAATTTTTAATTTATAAAAATGTGAGACGTTGATGTAGATTTTGAACTCTGTAAGTAAAAATATGCTGCATATGAGTTGCTTAAATCTCACCGTGTTGAACGGGTCTTAAGACACATTGTAGTATGACTCTTATCGGATTGCCGTGCTGACAGCGCGCGACGACGACGATAGTCGGCGATGTTGACCGTTGCGACTTGAAACCAAAGACGATCTCAAAAAAGTAATTCAAAGCGAACAAAATCCGCCGCGCGCATACGTCTTGCGGCTTCAGTTCACCTTCTCATCCCGAGCGAAGTGGTTCGTTCTTCACGCAGCTCTCTTTGTTTCGTCATTTCGTCATCGATCACATTGGTGATTGCAATGATGATTACCTCTCTCACGTCTTATCAATTCTTCATCCCGTTAATTAATTCGTGACACGGTAGAATTCGCCGTCAGAATTCAGGTATCCGTTTTTTTTTCCACACCATTTGATTGAAGATCTATCGAAAGATTGGATAATCACTAATTGGATTTCTTCTTCTCAATTAATCGTCGACAGGCTCATGCAACGTTCTTGGTAACAATCGCCTGACCGGTAATGCGACGATGAAAGTGCCGATTCCGTAATTTCCACGTCCGTTCAGGTGTCGTGTCTCTTTGCCATTGTCGTCGTCGTCAGGCAAAGTCGCTCGTGCAATCGATCGAGCGTCTAACAAAAGGAAACCATTCGTCATGATGGACGGGACATACTTGTGACTCTTTGGAAATGCGGAATCTTCTTAGAAAGTGTTCTATTTCGGTGAATCCAACAAGAAGCGATAAGTAATTACGTTATTCTTTTTTCATGCATAAATTAAGGAAAAATTCGCTAACTATTTTTTTTTTTATTTCCGTAGATTTTTAATAATTCTTTATTACACTTCCTCTTTTTCTAATCTATCGCCTTTCTCGTCTGATTGCTTACTGGATATTAATTACTTCTACAGCATTTTTACAAATCTTTGCAAACCTAATAATGTTTTCCATATCTTGACTGGCTTCTGTTTCAACTTCGTCATTCTATCATTGAAAAAATCAACTTCGATCTCGGGTTCTCGCATGACTCTTAAAACTAACGAGGCATCATGGAGTAATTAGTTGTCGGAATTCATCAGCTATAGTGGCTTATCTTGAGTTCGGAGCGATAATTGCCTTCATAAGTAATCGTGCGGTACTTCTATTTGTACATCGTTAACATTCTTACGTGATCATGTGACAAAAACATAACCGGTCTGCAGTTTGGCGGAAAATAACATCTCTGATTCTTCGTACGACGTGCAGAGTATGCAGTATTTTTTTCTTTGATAAACTGAAAAAACTCACTGTCGACATTATGCACATTAAGCATAGAAAAGGCAGCAAAAGGGTGATCTCCAAGCAAATTGTCTATGCATGTCGCATCTAAATGTTGGAAGCTAGTAATATGCGCGTTCAGCCATATTTAATGGCGATAACGGCTTCGCTAACTACCGATCCGATGATTCTGCTTCCTTCAGGGCAGCGCGGTGGAATGATCCATGGATCGAATCGTAGTATGCAGCACGATCTCCGCTTCCACGTTTCGAGCTCTAGCAGAATGTCTTCTTACTAACATTTATATTCATGTAAAGTGCCGAGTTTTACACATTTATTTCACTTCGGAATATTATATAAATAATACAGAATAATCCTACACATATTTTTTATTCTTTGTTAATATTGAAAATGGAATAGCTTTTTCGGACGTTATATTATTATCTAAAATATCTAAGATTAAAAAGAATAGATTAAATTATTATATTGAAATTAATATCTCTAATTATTTATTCATTTTTTCACACAAAGAGCTAAAAGATAAAATTCAAGCTCTGAGAGAGCGCACATATTTTGTTAAAGACTATCCCATTAATATGTATATAATTGAGTTATAATTAGTAGTGAGAAAAATAATTTTTTAAACTCATTTTCTACGTGTTCTGTGTTTGTTTAATATTTTGTCGAGAGTCGCGGAATCGTATTATAGAACATATAAAGAATCGAACGCGCGTACATTCTCATTCTCTTTCGCCGTTTCTTGTTCCCGTATTGTCGCAAGATGAATGAACGAGATGGCTTCTAAGAAACTGATCTGATCGCTCGTGATTGAATGTCGGATTGTAAAAAATCGTATTGTAAGCCACGATAGCACTGCACAAAAATATCGAGACGAAAAGCCGAGAAGTTGCGCGGAGCGGAACAATGTCATTTATAAATTATTCTACAGCGCGGCTCTTTACGAATTGTTTCGCGTTTCTCGTGTGGGGGGGTTTTTACTAACTTCCCATCGGCTTTATCTTTCGTCGCTTTATCCCCTTGATACTCCGTCGAGTGTCTTCCCTTTATTATCGAATCGCTAAACATTTACGATCGACCGCGCGCTGTGTGTTTTGACTTTCGGAGCCGCGTCGAGCTCTCTATCAAATAAATCATTGTCGTTACGGTCGCCTTTGACACGCAGGTGATGTAAGTTAACGCAATGCATTGAAGCTCACTCGCATATTTATCGACTCGTCAAGCCGAGTATGCAACGTATATCTTCCCTCGCGCGTGTACGAGCGAGAGCGATACTTTTACGACACTACGCCGGTGTGTTCCGTGCTCGATACGAGATGGCCTTATCTCGGCGTATATGAGTGTGGCTCGTTGTGTGCACACCGCCAGGAAGGAAATTGCATCACGCACGCGTTCACGGCGCGAAGGCCGAGACACGCGACAAATTTCAAGCTCTCGTTGCTGTAAAATATCATGTCGTAAAAGAATCGCGGATTTTTCACAGCGTACAAAATTTGCGTAAACCCTCAAACGGTAATAAAAATTCATACGAAAATTATAATCGATGTTTCTCGCCGCCTCGGTTTTACGGAGATGCATAAAATGTCCATTTTTTTCTAATTTACGATCGTTGGACGGTGCGCAACTTTTAACGCGTGCGCAAGAAAGCGAGTCAATCACTTTTAGCCTCTAAGCGACATTCGATCGCGAGCGATTGTTTTACGACCGCTTACGAATTCCCGGCACGATCTCGCGCTCAGATCGCAAACGCGTACGAAGCGTTCGACTTGCACGCGTGATTTCCACCGAGAGGAAAGTGATTCTCTAGGTGCGAACGTCTTTGTCATCGACGCAACTGTCCTTTCTCCGTCGGAAAAGAAAAAAAGGGAAAGGTCTATTGCTATTTTATGAAAATTTACTCTCTCCGCTTCTGTCCGTACGACAGGCGCGATTGTCGGTTAAGATGCTCGGTGAAAAGACGATTGTACGGCTTCGCATTTTATAGCGTGAAAGAACTCCCCTCCTGCCGCCTTGCTTTCGGTTTTCACCGGCGCGACGTACGAAATTCTCTTAGGTGCATACAAATGATGTCACCTATGCATATTCATGTTGCTCGGATGCTTAGATACCGATGCGCGAAATAATTATTTTGTCTACAGCGCGTAGGGTTTTATTCGCCGACGTGATCGCAATAACAAGTCCCCTCGACGCGAATTCTTAACGCACGTTCATCTTTGTGTGCCCGGGGACTGTAAAATGTTCGAACGGACAGTTCTAGGGGAGTCACGTAACTTTTTCACGAAAGCCGTGCCTATCTCATAGTTACATTATTATTTTCTATCCTATCGCATACATTGTCAATATCCCGCGCGATAACGATTGGGAAATGTCCATTTGTTTGCAGTGTTGCCTCGCGCTATCACTTATTGAACTTGGAAGTGCTCGATAATCTTAAAGTACCTCCAACGGCAATATGTATTCTTCGTTCGTTTGTTCCTGCTGGAGAGAGAAGACTCTTTCGCTGTCGTGGTATATCAATCGCGACGATTCCACGTCGATCGACCACGTCGTGAGACCTTGCGCGCGTTTGCATACCAGGCCAAGCGCGAGCACCGCCAGCCGCACTTATTGCCTGGAGATTGCACGTTACCTCTCGTTGCATCTTATATGGCAACGCATGTAACAACACGGAGATACGTACGTGCACCGCCGCCGCTGCATGCGGCCGCGAATCTAATTAGTTAGTTGTACTTTCGAATTCCGTCGATTATGCATTTTCCCGTGGCCCACAGTCCAAGTCCCTTGCACGCCTGTGTTACGTACGTAGCCTTGTAACATTTGTACGCGCGTTAGTCGTGCGATCGACGTCGGAGGCTCGGCAAAGACGAGCGGGGAATTGATCGGCGCTGTAAAAATCGGCAGCGAAGTTCAACGCTCGCGCGATTACAAACGGAGTTTTATTAGCGTGTCAACAATTATGTAAGACAAGTAATGAGTTTCCACATCGTGGAACTCGGATATAAATAACTCGTCTGAGTGTACGGCTCGTATCCGTTCCGCTAAATTTGTTTTAACGTTTCGAAGGCATCGCGCATCGCCTTTCTTCCATCACACGTCGCTCGAAAGTTTCTTGCAGCAAATTTTATTTCTTTGTTTTTTTTTTCTCTCTTCCTATACCACGCACTTCTCTTGCAATTAAGTCCCGCTCTTGCTCGGAACTCCTCGCCGCTGTACGTCACAGAACGCGAATCACTCTTGCGTGATTCTATTTTGCTTTCTCCCTTTTTGTACTCCGATTTCATCTTGTGTCGGCGTTGCGTCTCACTTTTATCAGTACTATCCGCTCGCATTATCGCTAACAACCTCTCGCCACGAAACATTCTTCCAACAATTCCACGTCACTCTAAATAGAACGTAATACTCTTCGCTCTTGGCGTCATTTCGCGTTTTGTCTTCAATTCCTTTTTTCCCATGTTTCTCCGCAGACGTTTGCGCAAAATTACCGCTTTTTATTTCTTTTCTTTATATGTTATACGCTTTTTTTCCTCACTAATTTTCTTCTCAGTTCAAATTGAATAAAAGCTAATTACAATCTTATAAAATGCTTTAAAAAGAGAATAGCGGTTTGATAAAATGGCTTTGAATTCACATATTGTTTTTCGTTTTATTCACGCGAACGAGTGTCTTCGGAGCTGCGGAAGGGTGCCTCCCTGGTGTGCGCCTGATTTTCTCGCTACGGGGTATTTTTTTCGACGTAGGAATTACCGCGACGGCGCATATCACCTTATCGCGATGTTCAGGAGCGTGCGAAGGTTTCTCCTCCTGCCGAGGAGAATCCTCCGCTGTTTCGACGTGCCTGGCCTGGTGTGATGTGCCGTAGTGGTTTTTTCTGCGCCGTCTGTCCGCCATTCGTCATGATTCGAGAGAGAAGAAATTCCCCGTGTCGAAGATTGCAATATCGTAAAGGTGTAGTGGCGCAGCGCATCGCTCGAAGATAGCCATTAAGAACTATTGAAAGGCGCCTTTATAGCGTTAGTTAATAATCCATTCTACATTCGAGGAATAAAGCTGACCATAGATGAGCATCGTGAGCAAGATGAATCGATAAGTTACATCATATTTTCCGTTCGCGTCAATATAGTTGAACTCGTATGAATAACCTGTATTGACTGTGTTGTTAACTCGGATATAGCGATACTCTTGTATGCTTATTAGAATTTTATCTCTATTTATTTTCTCAATAGGATTGTAATCTGCGATTTATCCGACGTAATTTATTTGTATTAATCGGTAGGATTTTTGTCACCTTTTCATAATTACTACATTGATGTAGTAATTTCGCTAATAATACGATCGAGAAAAAGCGGTGCATTTTACAACATATTTATTTTTTCGCAGCGATTGTAAAATTCTTAGTGCGGTGACGGTGCGCAACGGTATGAATGATTGTGACAATCTTATCGCGGCCCTGACCGACTGTACGACAACTGATT